TCAGATGTGGACAGCTGTGTAGAGAGATGAAATCTCCTGCCAGTAGGTTTGTTTTTCTGCAGTTGTTCTGGCACCACCTGGAGGTACTTGTGAGCCCTGAGGTAGGAGCCCTCACCCACTTTTTGAGTGCTGCACCCCGGCCGTCCCTTTTACCAGCAAACCTTAATGTCTCTTTGTGTACTGGGTGGCCTAAAAGAAGTAGCTGCACAAAAAAAAAAGCCCTCCCAGCAAATACAAAAAAACCCAGCAGTGTTTCCCACTGCACTAGTTTTAGTCAGAAATACTAAAACCCCCTCAAACTCGAGAGATGATTTAGGTTCCCCTAAATCAGTTAGGACAGTGGGGGTTGAGTCACTGCCTGTGTGGGGCTGAGAAGAGCAAGGGCTCGAGCTGGGAGTTATGGTCCTACAGATCACAGTAATACTGCATAAATAGTGACAATAATAGCAGTTATGAAGCAGTTTAGAGCTCCAGAACCTCCTACAAGTAAAATAAGAAGTGGTCACGTTTGAGGCTTTCTTCTGACTGGAGTCATACCACTCCCTGAAGGGCAAACTGTGTGTTTGGATTTGTCTGTATGTTTGAGTGGGGAATGTAAAAATCTTGGCACGGTAATCTTATTTTGGTAATAGGATTGTGTGCAGACATCCTTGTGGCTTGTGGTTAAATTGAAAAAAAAAATGAAAAGCATTAGATTTCCTGGGAAGGGGTTGTTGTTTGCAAATGGAGTGAATAACAACTGCACTTACCACTGCCTGATCTTGCTTATAACCCTCTAATGGAACTCCTTTAAAGTCTCTAGGGGTTTTTCCTATGGCTTTTAATTTGATGTTGTCCTTTTGGGATTAGGATCAACTTGGAAAATCGAGGTTTTATTCTAATTCCTTTTTGGTTTTCTCGAGTCTCCCTCCAACTTAAGTCTTTCAGGTGCAAATTTCCCTTTCCAGAATTCATTGACAGAAAACAATTTTTTTTTTTTTTGTAATTTTAAAAAACTTGTTATACGGCAACCTTGAGATTGTTTAGAATAGCCGATATCAAACACCAAAAGTCTTCAAAATGTTTGATGTCCCCAGAGTGGAGCAACTGTTCTGTCCCCCTGTGCATGTGGCAAATGAGGACACAGATTAAGTGATTTAATAGCACCTGCAGACTCCCCCCCTTCACTGAACACCAGTCTCTTATGGGATTGGTGCAGTCAGGTTATTTAGGTGCACTTCTAGGTAAAGAAACACAGATCACAGTACCAGCAGTGGATCCTTTAAATACACTGATTTACAAAGAAAGTTGGATTTTTTTTAATTTTGGGGTTTTTTTTCCCTGCACTGTTTTTTTTGTCCTTTCCTGGTTTGGCTTTCACAACAGTGCAGAATTCAAGATTTTTCTTTCAGCCTTAAATGTCTGCAAACTCTGCCTGGAACACAGGCAGGATTCCGAGCTTCCCAGCACGGCTGCTTTTTGACCAGAATCTGAGTGGAAAAATGTAACCTTTTCTAGTGCTCTCATGGTACGACCTCTGGAAACAGGGCGAACTGTTTAAGGCTTCCTGCTACATGTTAAAACCAAAAGAAAATGTTTCTTTTCTCCTGCTTCTAGCTGTCAGCCCTTTCCAGGGCTTTTGCTTGCCAGGGTTTTTCCTTTAACCCTTTTTTTATTTCAGCTCCTCCTTCCACCTTGGTCCTGCTGAGCCGTGTCAGTTCTTCCTGTAGTGTTTTGTGCTTGCATTATTCAACATTTAGGTGACTGAAGCTTCCAGCATGAGTGCCTGCTGTGTGGCTGGTAAATGTGTGGGCAAGGAGGAGAGTTGGGCTGTTTACAGACGATTCTAAACTCACCTTTAAAAATCCTAGAAGGACTTTTTAGCCAAGGAACTGATTCCTGTTTAGTTCAGAAGTTTGTTCACAAACTACTGGTGCGAACTGGTTGTGACTTAAGAGGAACTGTCCTGCTCTACTTGCAGCTGGAGATCACCCCGCTGATATTCCTCCTTCTGTGGGTATGTTCTAGTGAGCCATTAGTTCATTCTCCTGGCTGTTAAACTATTCATTGAGTCTACCTGAGAGTGGAAAATGCAGCTTCTTCCTAACTGCATCTTCATCTCCTCACTTGGATGTGACTCAGTGGCATTTTAGGAACTTGAAGCAGCATTTCTGGGGGGTGCTTGGGCTTTTTTTTTTTCTTCATCAGTTTTTACTTTAATGCTACTGTGTTTTCTCCCTTGTGGGTGATTTTAAATTGTTCCCTCCCCCGATAAATCCCATTAATACTGTAATATTTGAGAGCAGCTTGTAGTGACATCTAACATTTTGTTCTGTTTGTACTGCAGGCTGAGGTCAAGCAAACAAAGAAAGCAATCATTATGTTTTAGCATTCTTTTTTAATGAGCACATTAAAATCTGCTCACAGCTACAGGATCAGCTGTGAAGAGAAGGGAGGAACATTGAACTCTGAGTAGCACTGGCTTTTTGAAGCAATTTATGGAAAAATAATAGAGTGAAGGGATACGTAAGGACTCTGGTAGGAAATAAATGGCACAGTGTTGTTGACGGAAAGGGATTTGGCAGAGGGCTTGTTGTGACTGTTTCTGTGGCTTAGAAATGCAGAGGAATTTCCTACAGACTGGACTAACCATTAAAAATGTCTCTGCTTTTAGGAGTTCAGAGCATACAGTGGAGTCTTCTCAGGGAAGATGTCGTCTCTGACAATGAAAACCTGTTGTCTGGACAAAAGAGGAAGTTTCTTTAAGGTAAATAGGATATTTATACAGAACTTAAAGTCCATGGGTTAGTGTGAAATGAGTGCTGCAGAATGTTCAGTGCTCTCTGTGATATGTAGCAAGCCTTTTCTGTAAAATGGGGAGTGCTTCTTGAGCATCTCTTTTTTTCACAGGTGGTGTTTGTGGCTGCCTTACCCCTCAGTTATTTCATGTGTATATTGTTTTCCTGTACACTGAATGGAATATTTGGTGTAAAATAGCTTGTGGCTTTCTTTGCCACTAATGCTGAGAACATAAGCTTTATTATGCACAGGAATAAAATTGTTAAGAGCTTTCATAAGGTGGATTTGTGTCATTTAAAGTTGTGGTACAGGTTTATGATTTCCATTATTGGATTGAAAGTTGATTTCATTTCCTTGCCTATTTTGGGAAAACTTGGCATCCCAAAAAGCTGAGGTGCAGTGGGAGTTACCAGTGCAGTTTTCAAACCACAACTGAATCCCATTAACTATTGTATTTATGTGTAGTGGAGGAGGTCTGGAGGCAGTGCTGAGTTTAATTGTAGAGAACACTGCAAGGAAGATTTTCTTTCAGTGAAAAGGGATTAATTGATCTGAAGTACGGTTGTCAGAGCCTCCATGTGCCTGGTGTGAGTACAGCTGTGAACACCACGTGCTTCTAGAAAGCAGGACAGGGAGAAGAGTGTCCAGGCAGTGCCTCTGTATGGAAAGGCTGCTGACCTGTCCAACTGTGGTGTCCTGCCACTGACCAGAAGTGTGTCTGGCAAGTGCCAGAGTCACAGTGACTGTCTTGCTGGGCAAGGCTTTGCTTGAAGGCGCAGTCAAACTTTGTGGGTGTTTCTGAGCACTGAATTAACTTACCGTGATCACATCCCTTGGAATATTCACTGCTTGCTGCAGCTTCTGCCAGGAAAAGTGCAACACTTCCTGCCATCTCTGCACGGCACTGTTTCCATTCCTTCTCTTCCTCTGGGACAGAAATACCCTTCTTTTTTGCCTGAATCTGGCCCTAATGCTTGGGGGATGGGTGTTCCAGTAGGTGATAAATACGCTCACAACAGGCTACAGGCAAAGGGGAGCCAAGCAAGTGGTGGCTGGTGCCTTTAGCCCATGGAGAGCTGTAATGAGTGTGCCAGGGCCAGCTGTGGTGTCAGCAGCTTCACACCAGGACTGTGGCAGTGGCACACAAGTGCTGTTGAAGGGTTTGTTTCAGGTGCTATGTGCTGTCTGTAGCTTAAGCCAGTCTTTAGGGAGTGAACAACCAGCACTGCAGTGACAGCGTTTCCCTCTTTGGCTTGCCCAGGGCTTCGGGTGGTCGGCTATTACCAGGGTATTCCAGGGGCAGGAACCACTTCTCAAGTTTTGCAACACACTTCAGCTACATCTCATATCTCAGGACCACAAACATCAACCTTGTTAATGGCAGTCCACAGCCATTTAGGGAGAAAAGCTGTATTTTTCAAATCATAGCAAGAAACTGTCTCAGTTCTGAGGAATATTTCTGGGTGGTCACTCGTGTGTATGCTGAAGGAATCCTCATGGCAGATGGGACTGTAAGCAAGTGTCCGTGTTCTGCAGTCCTTTGCTATCTCCTTGTGTAGTTCTTGTGTGGAAAATAGATGCTGGAACAGCTGTTTTGTTCATGCTGATGTGGTTGTAGTTACTCAGGATGATTAGGAATGCAGTCTGCCTGAGCAGTTTCTAGACATGGCACTCTTAAGGCTGTAAGAAACATTGTCAGTTAAGAAACTAAGGTTGCCCTAAATTTTCCTGAGGACAGGCTGGCTGGGGAAAAGATGCCTCAAAGCTGCTTTTTCAGAGCTCTCCCCATCCCTGGGAAGTTGCAGTTGGGCCGTGGTTCCAAACCCACGGTGTCAAATTAGAAACTGCAGGCAGTGAGTGTACCCAGCCTGTGTGCAGTGCACCCGGGGCCTTGCTGTGCGTACAGTGAAACTACCTCCCCCACGTAATCCAAGTGTGACAACTGTTGTGTTTGCTACAGCTGAAAGGGTGAGCAAACAAAATACTTGGCACGTCAGACTTTTTCCAGTTTGCATTATTTTAATTTGCCTTGTCTGTGTGTTTAGGAGACCTAGTGATTCCGCTGTGGGATTTTACCCATGCTGATCTGAAGTTTGGAATGCTCTCCTCACGTGCACAGACTGTGTACTGTACTTCTGCACGTGGCTCTCCTGCTGTGCTTTTGCTTTGCAGTTGCCTAAGAAACCTTTACCATGCTGGCATGCAGATTCTCAGGGCACTTAAATCCCCATAAAAAAGTATCTTACCATTCTCAGCAACATCTCCCAGAAAAATCACTGACAAATACCAGTGGGAAATTCCAACATTATGGGTTTTTTCTGGTTCTTAAGTAGTTCTCATTGCTGTAGCTTCTTGCCATCTTTTAGTTTTTTCACAGACATTCCTTTGACTGTTGGTACACAAGGAAAACAGTATTGTCCCCATTTCACACAGGGACACAGTATTGTCCCCATTTTACACAGGGACACAGTATTGTCCCCATTTTACACAGGGACACAGTATTGTCCCCATTTCACACAGAGCAGAGGTCTGTAGTTTTACAGGCTAAATTCTGTGGACTCTTTGTGCCTCGCAGTTGATGAAGCTTAGAGCCAGCAAGTAGTAAAAATGAAGCAAAGATGGAGTTAGTCTTGGGTAATTCTGGGACTGCATAGCCTGCCAATGGTTACAGAGGGAGTGTGCAGTAGAGCAAGGAACTGAATGTATATGTCTCTGAGAAATGTCCTCTTTACTGAAACATCCTCCTCGTGAAGATGTTCCAGTCTTTACTGAACTGGCTTCAGAGGTTTTACACTAATAAAGCTTTTCTGTTCCAAAACCAAGCATAGTGTAAAACTTTGTTGCTTACTGATGAATAAGGCAGTGAACTGTGTCAATGGCCCTTAGAATTCGCAGCTCACTGTGCAAAACCAGCAGAATTTGCAGCCGTGTGTCAGAATACTCGATTGTCCTGAGCCGTCTGCACGAGTCCGGGAGCAGCGTTCCCAGCCGGGCTCATCTCTGGCACTCGGCCACCTCGTCACACAGGGTGCTCTGTCAGGGTTGCTACGTTCTGCTTATCAAAACAGGAAGGAAAAGATGTGGTGCCAAAGAGGATGCAGGTCCACAGAAAGAATGAAAAATGAGCTGCTGGCAGGAAGGGGGGGTGGTGAGCGGCGAGGCCCATTTGTCCGGTCTGATCTTGCTCTTTCAGCCCGGGGTGCCTTGCCAGATTGGAAGCACCGACCTTACCTTTTCCTCTTCTGCTGTTGTAAATCTCAGGGCTTGGAAACATTCTGCAGTGGTCTGCTGGGCTGGCTCCTCCTTGGCTGCCAGAGCTGGCAGTTTTGTTAGTTCCCTGTACAGGCTTATTTGGCATTCCGACACAAAAACCAGGAATTCAGTTGTCGTGCGGTTTTTTTCTAAAAATGTCCTGAGACAGACATCAAATCAAAGCCACCTGTCCTCCTCTTGGGAACAGGAAGCTCTTCATCAGTTGAGTGAGTAAGAAGACCTATAGTTGGGCTGTGCTTCTGGGAGAGGCACTGGCTGTGTCTGGCTGTGTGTGTGGGCAGAGCAGCTTCCCAAAGGTGACTGGGGCCCCTGGGCAGTGTGTTGCTTCTGGTGAACACACCTGCTCTTGCTTTTGCTGCTTGTATGACGTCCTGAAAGATGCCAACCAAAGCTGGCCTGTGGGCTGTGGTGGCAGAGCACTGGGCTGCTGGAGTGCCATGCTTGTGGGCTGGGTGTAGGAGTGTTACCCCCCAGCTTCCAAAAGCTGAGCTCAGTCTCACTGAACCAAGAATCAATTGACAATATGCAGAGTGTGGCACGTTATGAAAGGAAATGTTGTGGTGTGAGATGTTTGCATTTCATTATTTCTCTCATGGTATCAGGCATGTAAACAGTCCGTGGTATTTGGCAATGTAATGTTTAGGATAGTTTGCTTAGGGAATACTGTGCTGGGCTGCTGTGGGAGTTCATGTGTCTGAGTCATAATTAGTCTTTGGGTTTACAGTGGTTACATTGTAGTTTCTTTTTAACCTACGGAACAGTGCTTTATCAGAAATAAATTCCAAAGGAAAATCATTAGACTCAAAAATGGCTATTTTATCATATTATGTAAGGTGTCATTTTAGTTTTGGGGGTTTTTTTTAACCACCTGAGAAGATGTCATACTTCCAAACGCATTTCTTTTCAAGTAAACCTCCTCTTTCTGTAGTATAGCAGGGTAGTATCTATTTCATAGTCCTAAATAGGCTGCAACAGATTTCTCCTGATTACTTTTTAAGTCTTTGGGTTCATGTATGCTATTTTACATTAACAGTGGCCCCTGGCAAATGTATCCGTCCACTTCAGTTATATTTTCCTTTGGAAACTGCCTCTTACCATCTTGATTTCCATTCTATTGAAACAAATGGGTGAGTTTTCCAATTAGTTCCAGACAAACAGGTATCACACTCTTTGCAAATAGAGAAATCTGTTTGAGGAATTCCAGTTGCACTTAAAAAGGCAGAGCCCTTTGCTGCTGCTTGTTTTCTCAGGGTCGAAGCTAATAATAGTCCATAGCCAGGATTCTTCCTGCATTTTGCAGAAACCTGTTATTAACAGCTCATCTTGTCTGATGCTCATCATGTGTGCATCACAGGTGCTGCACAATCACCAGACCTTTCATTGGTCCTGAATACTTCGGAGGTGATGTCAGAAAATCCTGAGTGCACCCTGTGTTATTTGATAGAAAATGGTCTGTCAGGTGCTGTGGTGACAGTAGGTGTCAGTTAACTGCAAGGATACCCAAATGATTCAACTCCATAAGACCTTTTTTCTTTTTTTTTTAAATTGAGAGTAACTTTTTTTACCAAAAAGAAAATTTAAGGAAAATCAGTTGCAATTTGCAGAAAATATTGGTGGTTTGTTTTAGAGAAAACCAGGGGGGTTATTCCTAAGGATAAGTGCTTTATTTGAGGTGAGGTACAGGGTGGTAGGTGATAAGTCACTGTTGGGTTGCAGAGTGTGTTCTGTTTGGTTTGATGCCACACTTTACCTGGTTTCCTTGTCCAGGATGTACTGACCTCTCACAGACTGAGGAGAGACTGCCTTGTCCTGGAGGATGTGTAGTACCCCCCAGAAATCTGCCCTGTGGAACAGAATGTGAGCATCAGGCTCCTTGAAATGTGCCATTTTGTTTGTGTTCTCTTTAGATAAAGTGAAATTGCTGAACATGGAAAAATTCCCCTCAGGAATGATAATTTCTCTTCAAGGCAGGCATACAAATTAAAAAGTGTTCAGATTACTTTGCCCTTAGTACAGTTTGGATTTGAGCTCTTTGCTGTAGTGCCCAGAGATTCTGTTTTCTGGGAGGGAGATTTTGGTTTTTATTTTGGTTCTTTGGTGTTTTTTGGGAGGGTTTGGGGTTTTTTGCAGCTCTGATCAAAGCCCATTAACTCAGCTAAGTGAGTTAACAGCCAGATGGCGACAGAGCAAGTCATCCCTTTCAGTGCTTCCAGCAGTTACCAGGTATTTTAAAGCTCTGAAATGAAAAGCTTCAGCAGAACCAGAAAGGGAAGAAGGCTCCAAAAGCTGTAGAGACAGAGTGAGGATTGCATCAGCAGTCTTATTTAGCAGTAACAACTGGTATGGTTGTCTCACTACCTCACTGCACTTAGCAAACCTCATGAGGATAAAGCCCCTTTGCTTTGTGTTCTGCCATCAGTTATGAAATGTGATTTTAATCCAGGGATAGGAAATCCTAATGTAAGTAACTGATAGGCTGTAATTAAACCTGGAATGGATTTTTTTCACAAGGATGTGCTTTTATTTTTTCCAAATACTTGTCACATTTTTTATTTAAAAGTGACAAATCGTATATTTCTTTCTGAATGTGTATTTATTAGCATTTTTTGACTCGCATTTTGTATGTTTTCATACAAATAACAAGAAATCCATTGTGTCAGTATTTTAGAATGCCATTAGTTATTTAAAACTAGCTCTAAGAAAGTACATTCAGAAGGCACAGCTACTGAAATAGTTTGGGTGATTGTTGTATCTAGAGGCTGTAATGGATTGCTCATCAGAGATTTAGGCCTAATAGAGCTGATCCTTCCACTTCTGCTGCTTAGTCACAGCTTGGAAGAGAAATACAATTTTTTTGTCTTTTTACACTTGTAGTCAGCTTCTCTGCTGTGAATTAATTGAGTATTGAACTGAATTAATGGATCTCTCCTTTACAGATCCAGAAGGATTACTGTACAGAAGTACTGGCTAGGAACATTAGCTGTAGTTCGGGTTTGCAGCCAAAGACTTGCCATAAATTAATTGTTTTCTTTTTCTTTAAAAACCAAACAGCAGTCCACATGATAAAAAAATTTATTTAAACGTAAACCTATAAAACAGCTGTATTGCTTTTCAGAGGATTGCAAGAAAAGATAAAGATGATGCTACTCAAGTGGTAGAGGCTTTAAAAGTGCCAAAGGGATGCAGCCTGAGGGCAGGAGGGGGTCACCCTGTCCCGGGTGGGGCTGAGCTCCCCGAACAGAGCTGGCCCGGAGGGAGGAGGCACTGCTGCCCAGAGCCATGGGCGGGCCCCCCTGGGGGTGCCACGGGCTGGTTCTAGTGGGGACAGCAGCACCATGTGTATTTGTCACCACCTGAAGCCAGTGCGGGGCTGGACTCAGCCCTTGTGCAGAGGGAGGGCTGAATTTGCCCGTGCTCAGCTGCACTCAGTGCAGGTTCCTGGGGGTGTGCTGGCTCTGGCAGGACGGTGTGGGTTCTTCCCTTTCCCATGCTCAGGAAGGCATTGCTCACCTCTGGCTGCAGTGACTCAGGGGGAAGGTCTTTGCAATGCCAGTGGTACAGAACGTCTGGGAGCTGTGACAGAAACGGTGTGGATCATGGTAATGCACTCTCACTTAAGGTTGGCCAGCTGCAAGCAGAGACTAAAACTTCTTTTAAATTGATTGGAATAATGCTGCACCGCAAAGGAGAGAGTGAATTCCGTCCAGTAGAACAGTACAGGGAAATGATGCCCCCAATGCTTTGAAAACGCTGCTGAGCTGAGCTGCCTGCCCTGAGCGGGACTCGGGGTCATGTCTAGTGAGTGACTGTGAAGACTGTTCTGACTTGGGCTGGGAAGCTGGTTTTGCCTCAGTACCAGTGTTTTTGTTTGCTCTGTGGTTCGGGGATGGTGGCAGAGATCACTGCATCGCTGCAAACCTTCTCATCAGCTTCTCTCCAGGCAGGAGGGAGGGGACACTGCCAGGGTTCATGTGCTGCCATGGTGCAGTGTGACAGCAAACTTGATGCATTGGCTGCGAAGAGTGTTCAAGACAGCACGGCTTGCAAACTTCAGAGTTGGTTTCTGCTCAGCAAAATGTTCCCCAGAACTCTGGCTAGCAGATCCTTCATGTCTCGAGATACAGCCCTCGTGCTAACCTTGCCCACATTAAAATGAGTGTTTGCCCTCGTGCCCAGAATTAGGATGGTGTTCCACCTGAGCTGAAGTGTTACGAGGCGGTCCCTTTTAACTGAATTGTTCTGTTCAAGTGGAATCCAGAACCTAACGTGAAAAGCAGCTCCTCATTCCTTTCTTGCTTCGTTGCTTTTCATCCTCCACGGTATCATCATGCTGGCTTAGTGCCCCTTCTGCAGTCGAACTCTTGCAGATGGAACTGTTCTAAATATATTTTTTCTTTTTATTTGAGAAAGTAAATGCTACAAATAGTTGAATAATTTAGTTCTTGTAAGCTGTTGTATAATATGTAGAGGCTGCAAATTGAATACCTTTAAATAAAAAGGCTAGCCAACCTGGAAGGTGTTGTACTGTCACAGAACAGGAATTATTCTTCCTCTGAGAACCATTGTAAGTGGCCCCAACCCTTACTTTTTCCTTTGCAAAGGGAAGTCCAAATAGGATGCGATTTTGAAAAAAAAAAAACCAACCAGTTTGTAATCTCTGGTGACTAAACTTGCCCGGGCTTCTTTTCCACGCCTCTTCCACTCACTTGATGTCATCCTATTTTTGTCCCTTTCTAGCTCATTGACACAATTGCCTCAGAAATCGGAGAACTGAAACAGGAGATGGTACAGACAGATCTCACGCTGGAAGATGAGTCTGCTGATTTGCGAAGGTGATTAAAATGTTTATTTTCATGGTTCCTGGAGCTCTGCTGTGACAGGAATGTTTTCATTGCACTGTCTTCTTGGGTGGCTTATGTCCTTCCACTGTTCTTCCTAGCAGCACAGGGGGTGTGGGCAATCTTGCTCTTGATCCAGGGAATTTGCCTTCGTGCAGGAGTGCCCAGAGATTCAGTTTTCTGTGTATTTGCCTTAATATCTTCTAATAGCAACTGAGCTTCGCTTCTACTTCCTTGTTAAACCTTGGATAGGGATGAATGTCTGAAGCAGGAAACTTCTAACATCATTGCCATTGTCTGTGGCAGAGCTTTGCTTTCCCGCTGTAGAGACAAAATGTGCATAGCTTCAAGTGGCTCTGTGAAGATTCAGCACACTGTAATATATGATTTATTTACGTTCCTGGGCTAGAAAGTAAAATATTCACTGTTATGAGCTAATACGTATGTGGGATATGTGTTTAATTTATGTATGAGTACCTTGCACATAAAAAAAAAATAAAGTAGGTGGGGCATTTCCTTAAGATGATTTGAGATACATATTACAGTGCAGATAACATTTCTGGCTTTTTCAAACTGATCATACCACGTAGATGTGGACTGTGAACATTTGTCATGGTACACTCGTACCTTGAAGTGGGCAGAGTGGGGCCTCAGCATCTTGGATTTGCTGTGCCTGATGTGCTTGACTGGCAACATCTGTTAAATTGGCATCTGGAGGATAATCAATATTTTAATCATTGTTTTAACGAAAGTACAAAAACGTATCCTTGTCTGGAATATTTGTTGCAAGAGGAAAGCAACCAGTGTATGTGTTGTGTTTTATCTGACTGCACACTCTGGGCCAGCTCTGGAGCTCTGGTGGGCTTTGTTCTTCTAGTAGTGGGTAATTGTTTGTAATTTAGAATTCCATCCAAGTTTTTTAGCTTTTTTTACTTTCTTTTTATGAATTCTGTTGACATCTGCTAGAACTTACTGCAAAGTATATGTAAATTATTGACATAAAACACTGTTGCCCAAGTGGTAAAGAACAGGTGACCTAATTAAAGTCCTTGGCTATGGCCCTGGTTGCACATTATTCAAGTTTTAAAGCTTTTGAGAGTACAGTTCTCTTACAGTGGCAGAAAGGATACTTTCTTCATTTTGGTGGGCTCAGCTAATGAATTTCAGCGATCATCAGCTAATTTTCATTTAAGAAAAGGCTTATTGTATCTTTGAGAACACCCATAAGCATGAAAGGCTAGGATCTACTGGTAAAATCTTGGTGGAAGCACTTAGCTGGAAACAGTCAACTTTTTTACTGATTTTTTTAAATGGATTCTTAAACTGAGTTTGTTAATCTTGAGTGCAAAATGATAAAAATATGTAAGTAAAGCTAACATAAAAAAGTGAATAATGCAATTTCCAGGACTGTGTAACTGAAGTCAATTTCATACTGAAATAATAGCCACCAAAAAAAAAATCATTCTTTTCTGTCACTTTGAGATGATAAATGTAAAATATGAAATCTGAATAAATGAGCTAATGCCAAATTTTCTATGACTATGTAATTCTGCACTGTGTGCTTCTATGTAAGGAAGAACCTGTATCAAAGTTTTATAGTTTAGTTGTGCCCAGTTGTGTTTATATAGAGCTACAGAGCAAGGTTACAGTAATTTCAACCAAGGTTTTCCAGAGCTCTTGTTTAAACTGGACACTTTGCAAGGCTGTGCTTAGTCGTAACTTTATTTCCTTGCAGTTACTTTAAAACTTGGTAATTAATGTAGTTTGCTCTCATTATTGTGTGTTCTGCTGTTCAGAAGCTGGTCTCTTGATATGACCTTTGGATTTGCATCTAGAGAAATGCGAGCTAAATTTTTTCCAACTCGTTTTTTTCACCTTACCAGGTATCCACAGGCACACAGGGCAGTTTTAGAAAGGCAGCGCTTGCGAGAGCTCTCGACTGGGTTCAAAAAAATAACTGCATGAAATTGTGTGCCTGCAACTTCAGTGTTGTGGTGTGGGTTTTTTTGTGGTTATGTGGCAACTTTCAGATTTATTCTCCTCCCCACAGTTCTGTTTTGGGCTTATCTCCCCTTTTAGCATATATGGCCCAAGTAATAATGAGAATGATTCAAGGCTCCACAACTTGGGCTTGTAAGCATGTAAAAGCCAGACAACAACAAAGACTTGCCAAACTGTATTTTAAGGGGGGTGCTCAGGCTGTGTTTCAATATTCCACCGTGTTGGGTGCCAGGGCTTTCTCCCAGCACAGACATTTGTCTCGGTAAGGCACAGGAGTGGAGTTGTCAGAGAAGGGCACTGATGGGGCCGGTCTCTGTCCCGTGCCGTGCTGGTGACCTTTCAAAGAGTGACAGGAGAGCTGCGTGCAGTGGCAGCCCGGGAGCACGTGTGCTGACAGCTGGCACCTGGGTGATGTTTTGGGAGGCGCTGGGTCTCCCTCGAGGGCCCGGCCCACGGACCCCTGCGTGTCTGTTCTCATGGATGTCCCTGAGGGGACAGCGCTCGCTGCCATCCCGTGTCTGTTCTCATGGATGTCCCTGAGGGGACAGCGCTCGCTGCCATCCCGTGTCTGTTCTCATGGATGTCCCTGAGGGGACAGCGCTCGCTGCCATCCCGTGTCTGTTCTCATGGATGTCCCTGAGGGGACAG